CCCCCCTCCCCTATATTCCTGCATCAAATGTGCATCTAGAGCGTACTGAAAACGCGAAATTTGGCGTACTGCAAGCGAACACCCAGCGCACTGGCAGCGTACCACACGAAAACGAACTATGTTCGCTCTGGGTTCGTTAAGGCGCGCGAAATGACACATCCGCGCACCTTTTGTGCACTTGGGTGAATCACTCGCGAACTCGTTGAGAGGGTCGCAAGTAGTACGTTTTAGGTTTGTCACGACGAACTGAAAGCAATCCAGTTGCGTACAGTAAATTTTGCTTCGGGTCACCATCACTGCCACCATCACTGCAGATTTACCTTGCATGAAGAGTCGATGAAAAGGGCGGTGTATTTACAGTACTTGAAGTCATAGTACTGAGGGGCAGGTCTCGTCGGGTAGCATCCATTCAGTGAGAAGTTGTAGTTCTCCAAACATTTCTGATTTCCTCAATCTTTTCGGCCTTTTTGGGCGCTTCAAATGAAAGGAACCGTGTCGGTCTATGTCTATTCAGGGCCTGTGCCTCTACCGGCATGGACTGAAATAATCTACTTACAATAAATGCGGTATCTTGGACGACTGAGCTAGTACTTAATGGTACAAGAAGCCTTTTTCTAATAGAAAGTAGACATCTAATAGTTGGCGAAGGCAAAAAGACGTCTAACAAGGGAACTCATCTAAGTGTTTGTCGCCGATTTCGTTCCGCCTTGTGAGCTTTGTAGAGTGACCGTGATTGGCAATCAAAATTCGTGCCGAATTTCATATTTGTATCTATAGGGAAAATCCCACTGTCACCTCCCGCTCGGCGCGTTCGGCAATGGCGAACTGCCGAGTCCCCGATTCCCGGACGCTTCGGACCCACTCACCCGCCCGGGCGCGGGTCGAGTCGGGTAAAACGTCCACAAAGCAACGGGTCCCTAACGCCTCATCTACCACAAGCCATCTAAGCGCTTAGATGGCTTAGACATGACGTAGAGTGCCTTGTGACGTCCACCGCTTATCTACGGCCGGACATTTAATATATAGATGGCATTGATACTAAGTAGAGCGTCTTTCGGCGTCTATACGCTATATACAGAAAGACATCTAAACTCATAGATGGGTTAGATGGCATGTAGAGCGTCTTCCGGCGTCTACACTCCATCTACAGTTAGACAAGATGGCAGAAGAAATATAATCGGCATCTTTTAAACATCTATGTGTAGACGTCTACACAGTTAGACCTGCTAGATGGGCATTAGACCATCTACCGCCATCTATAGATGTCTATTTTCTATAAGTGTTGTAACTATACAGGCAGAGAGAAGTGACAAAGAAAAAATCGTAATTTGACGCATTTACTTTGTCCGCATCTCAATCTTAAAGTGGTGCCCTCGCTAGCCTACCCAGTCGCCGCTACTATTGAAAGCATGGACGCCTTCAGGTGCTCACGCAGACTATCCGTGCTCTGTTTTCCCTTGCTAGAGCATGCAGGCCTCCCCCTCCCCTGTCCCGCGTCGCTGGTGACACGCGTGCACGCAGCGCTATGTAATCGTAATGCTTGCGTGCATCGGTACCAGCCACCCGCCAAGCGCACACCTGCGGGTGGGCCGGCAAAGGCCGGTCGAAGTGGTCACTGCAAGATCGCGTCGGAGGTAACGCACGCCGCCCTCTTATTACGATTACAAACTACTTGTTTAAACCCAAGACTAATACTATACCCTGGTAAAACAAGAATGCAGTTTTGCACACGAAGTGTGCTTTCCACTAATTCGTACGCTTCATGGTGTTTAAATATAAAGCACGTTAAATGGTGCGCAAACTTTTAATCGGTTGGAAAGTAGGTAAAGTCTGCATACTTGATTTCACACTCGTCTTTGCATTAGTACAGGATGAGGCATACCAAGAAACAGAAGATGCATACCATAGGTTGTGTGCATCCTCCAACCCGTTTGCAAATTGTACAAAGCTTTACACTTCCACATTAATCGCCTACTTTACTTATTTAGGACGAAAGCCCAGGCGCAGTTCGCACAAGCAGAAAGCGCGTGGAATCTGCCCTAGTAACACATAACTGTCGTACGACAGTCGGCCAACAGTAGAAAAAAGATACGAACCATCGGTGCGATATACGAAATGAGAAAAATGATTCTATCGGGATACTATTTTTTTTCCTCGAAACGAAAATCGTTAACGGCCAGCTATCGTAATGGAAGCCAAAAACCACTGTTGTGGATTCGATCAGGAATCGATAAAAATACAACAGAATTGTAGATGGTTTAAATTTGATAGACCAGCGACAATCGTCTGACTATGGGAAAGCCACCACTTTTGGATTTTCGTTATTGTCACAATAATTGGACGATAGATAAAAATCACACTATGTGCGACAATCTTGTGTTACTAGGGTGTGTGACCAAGATGGCTGCGGGCCCCCAGCGCACCCTGATCAGGACGAGATCTCTATCGGTAAACCTTTCGCTTAATTCTCCTCTTGCGACGCGTATACATATATACATATCAGTCTCCTTATCCCTCAGCCAACAAGTAGACTGACTTTGTGAACTATTTTGATCAAAACAGTGGTCACTCGCCTTTGTCACTGTGTATTTTCTTCGTGTATGGATGGAAGTCAGCCTGAGGCAGACTGCAGTCACAAGGCTGCTCTTTCAAGAAATATCAGGTACAGCTCTGATTTAGTTCAAACTCTAAAGAAATGAGTGTTTTCATGCGTATGATTGTGCAATAAAGCATTTCGGTAAAGTTGAAGAGTAGAATGCGGGAAACAACAAAACGAAAATCACTTGTTGAACATTGGGACTTCCATCGTCTTGTTTCCCGCATTCTTCTGTAATTCAGCTTTACTGGAATGCTTCATTGACTATTGGCTCTATTTTGTAAACTGTTATAAATATTTCATTACATTTTCATCACATGTTGAGAAGCTAGTTCCATTAGATTTTTGGCTGAGCGATTAGCGAAGCCCATTACTCCACTGACCGGAAAAGTTTCATTCTGTTTGTTTGTCTGTCTGTCTGTCTGTTTGTTTGTTTGTTTGTCTGTCTGTCTGTCTGTCCGCACGATAGCTCGAGAAGGAATTGAGATAGCGATCTGGGATTTTCAGGGTCGTTTTGTATCATAAAAAGACAGATCGAGTTCGAAGATGAGCATTCTAGCTCAAAAATTGACTTTTGAAAAAAACGAAAACCAAAGGTCGCGAAATATTATTTTTTTATAAATATTTTTTTATGGGCTTTTAAGAGGTAACTCTTGAAAGTAGAACTCTGCGGACGAAAATTTCGTCCGTTTTGCTCTAGCTTGTACCGTTTTCTCGTTATGGGTCATTTCTTGGCGAAAACAACGTAAAAAAGACAAAACGGTCTATTAAATCGTTAAAAAGGCTTCTTGTCACATATTTGTAAAGGGAATAATACTTAAACCACACATTAAGGGTCGAACCACACCCTCTTTTGGGCTTATTAAGGGTCCCTCGATTATCTAGTATCACTAAAACGTCGATTTTTACATAACAATCTGTCAAAATTCGATCTTCTAATGAAAACTGTTACCGAACAGCAGGAGTTTTATATCTCTAATTTCAGAGTAAAAAGGCCCCAACAAATGGTTTCAGTATGTCAAATTTTGGGCCCGGAAGGCCCTGTTCCCCTATACCGTCCCATTTGCTCGTCTCGAGTGTCAGCGCCGCAGGCCTAGCTATATGTGCGCCAGGCGCGTCGCAGCGTAACAGTGTTTCGTGAGATATCGCGAAGCCTGTTACGCGAGACGTGGTCTGGCGTACATACAGCTAGTGATATTTTAAACCTTTTTCATTACATTTCATTACATTCTAATGAAGTTTCACATAAGTATGTTGTGAAAGAGTTATTAAATATCGTTACGAAAATCTAATGAGAATAGCATGTAATGAAAATGCAATGAAATATTTTTTACAGTTTAAACAAAAATGTGGCCTTTCTTTTGAATTGCTTCAGGAATCACTTCGATCGTACTTTCCGTCAAGTTTTTCGCAAGCAGAGTCACAGATGTCATCGAGCTGTTCGGACAAATGAAGACTATTGCCCACTGTCTTGAAGAAAACCGGGCCCCACAGAAGCAGGTAGGACGTTGTCAGTACCCATTTAACTACAAAAGAGTTTACGGTTGACGTGTCGCATTTGGTACCAATGTTTGCGCAGAGGTCCATGTCAAACCCCGCTCGCATCTCACACCGTGTCGCCGAGTTCAACTCAATTTTGACTGCGTTACATCTGACAGAACTTATTGTGGTTTTGGATTTGCTGCGGAGCACCAAATAGTCCCACTTGTCTGTCTGAGAATCTACTCGTCCCTCACTAATTAAATGTAGTTGAAAGAAACGAATAATAAATCATTAGCGTTCACAAGTTAATAAAACAGATGTAGTTTCTTTCTTTTAAACCGACCCTTCTTGTGTGTCTGTTGGATGGGGGGGG